AAAAGTAACGGCAGAGAAAGGTAAGGCAGCGTCATCATCTAAGTTGTAGGATCATTTTAAAATTAGTAAATTACTTTGTTCCGTACCAGTTCAAATTTTTTAAGCGCTCTAAAAACAGCGAAAGTGTTATTTCAATAGGTAAGTAAACAAGGAATCTTAATAGTGAGTAGGCAACCGTAGGAAGGACATGAGCAATTTTTTGTCATAATTGTTACTAAAAAGTTACTTTCTCAAGCTTGGGGATATCACAACTATTTTATTTAATTTTTTTTCTCCCTGTATGATTTTGGATCGCACTCTACTCTATTAAAAGAATTACGAATAACGAAATAAAACAGTTCCTTTCGATATAAAGTAATTATTTTGCCATGCTTGGTTTAAGCAGGTGTAAAGAATTTAACCGAAGACAAGGCGTCAAGAATTCGCATGACATTCAATTTCCTGCAAAATTTCTTTAGCAACGGAAGGATGATGTCGACTAAAAACAGCACACGTTAAAAGCTTATCCGTTTAGTAAGAGACTTATCTTGAAAGGTATGCAAAAAAATAAATTTCCATCAACCTGGTACTGCTAAACAGGGAAAAAGATCAGAATTGGGGAAACGTTATGCTGACAGAAAATCAACCCTCACAGATGCCTCGCCTTCCCATCTCCCCTCATGCCTTTTCTTTCTTTAGTTTTTTTCTTTAATTTTTTTACTCTTTAACGGTTAATTTAACAACATTGAGACCTTCAGAATTCTGTGGTAGAGTTCAAGAGAAAGCAAACTTAGAGAAAAAAATACTTGTTTTATTATATGCTCCACTTGTCATAAGGATTGGGTTTCTTGCCGCGAACGGTGACTACCCATGTAAAATATAAGCCTTTAATCAAAAATCTTTCATGAAGACTTTTTGAAAACTCGTACTTAACGTTACACTGTTTAAGCTAACATTAAGACCGAAAAATCGAGAAACTGAAGGAGATAAAGAGGTTTTAATTCGGTGGCCTCGTGGCACCGTTCGAGAATGCCGCCACCGCGCATGCACGAAAAACTCGATGTCCCGTATGGAAACCCAGGCGAAGGCTGCGCGTCGACCAGCTGCAACAGGGTTATTACAGCTTTCGACTATGTTAACCTACTTCTACATAATATAAGATAATAGAAGAAATATCTTTAAGTTTGTTTTGCCGCCAAGAAGTGTTTGGTTTCGATACGAAGCAAAATGATCAGGAACAGTTAGCCACAATTATACAATAATTATGCGATTTTCAAACTGAAGTGATCGTTTTAATTCATTATTGCTGCGTCCTTATTTGATGTTCGTTACGGCACCTTCGATCAGAAGTAATATGTAGGGTTCAGGGACACAATAACTCAGTTACCAACCTTCTTAAGTTATTGTGACAAGATATCACGCTGAAGATACATGTAAATGTATGATCTCAACCGCGCAGAACGAAGTTCGTTGTTTAATATTAAGTTACTTATCTCATTTATGAAAATCAAAAGAAACAATATGCAAAAGAAAGAAACTTGACTCATAAAGAGTTAA